ACATATAGAAATCGATTGTCATTTTGTAAGAGAAAAGGTGACAAATGGTAATATTGTGGCTCCTTATGTCAAGTCATAAGAACACCTAGCAGACTTGTCAAGAGCTTGTATCGTACCAGGATGGATTATATTTGTAACAAGCTAGAGCTTTATGATATATATGCTCTAGTTTGAGGGGGAGTGCTAAAATGTTTGCCCACAAGGGCCATTTTAGTCATTTGTTGTAGCTTTGTATCTCCCCTGTTAAGAATCACTTAACAGGAGCATTTTTGTGTTTTTGCATGTTCTAATGAAGGCAATACCAATACAGGTCAATAGGTTAAATAAGATTGGTTGTATCTTCTTCGTAGAGACCTTTTTCTTTCTCTTTTCACTTTCTTGTCTCCTACTGTGTAAGACAGATCTCCCTACCTTTTTCTCTTCTTTTTCCCTTTTATTCTCAAGTTGAAATACTTTTCGTTTCTTTTCATTTTGTTTCCTTGACTTTATTTTTATAATTAACACTAAAGAAAACTGCACTAACAATATCAGGAAAAATATTTGTTATCCAAAAAATTAATAACAAATATCTTCTTCAAATTTTGTACTTGGCCCCAAAGTGGAAGGTGGAGGGTGGAGACTCATTACCAATACCATTATTGGGATAACAATACGACTTTTTCAGATCATATGACTGGATTTTCAGATCTCCATTGCACAAACAGTTACCTTAATTGATGACAGTTTTTCTCCCAATAATGGTATTGGTAATGTGTTTCCCTTGGTTCTAATATTGATAATGTGCTAGAAGGCAGTTGCTAACAATATCAGTCGCAGGCATTAAAAAGGAGCAATTCACAAATGAATAGGAAAGAATTCTATTTGTTGATTTGGTAAATGAGTAAACAGTAGATACATCTTAAACAATATACTTTTTGTATAATTTCAATGGTTTGTAGTGATTGAACGTATCCTTTTTTGTAAATAGCTTTGAGAGAACCTCTCCCTTCTTTTGAGTAAGACAATATAACTAATTTTTAAAAGTGCAAGGCACAAGAAATGCACAAGTGCCTTCTAGCACCTGAGGCACAAGGCACAAGGTGAGGCATACACATTTCTTGAAATAATTTGCAAGTTTTTGTAAAAAAAACGTTAAAAAATAAGCACTAATACATAAATATGATGAACTTGAATTTTAAAAAGAAATTAAATGTTTTAAAAAGCCTATTGGCTCAAATAAAAATACATAAACATGATATGTAAGCTATATACAGAAGAGCTGCTCTCTTTGGACTCTTTGCTTTGACATGGAATCAGCTAGCTCATTGGCTGATGTCAGTGTCCAACTAAATTGAATCTCCATGCCCATCCATGCCCCTAATTATCTCCTTTGTACCCTCCAATTGTTCCTATATTGCCATGGAACATAGTTGTCAAGGCGACACGCCTAGGCAACTAGGCGGTTTTTCATGGTCACCTCGCTCAAACGCCATATGTTTTGCGCACTAGGCGCCCACCCAGAGATTTAAGCGGGCGCCTACATGCATCCAAAAAAATTAAGTTTTTTTTAATTTATTAGTTTAATATTTCATTGGTTGTTGTATTCTTTTAAAATAAACTTGTTATATTGTATCATTTTAGTATTAAGAGAATTATACAACTAAACTAAGTAATCTCTATTTTCTTTTCTAAACCCTTGTATCACAAGGGTTTTGGTTCGACTGGAGAGAGAGGAGAACCGAACAGGCAAACACTACAAGCTCGAGCAGCCCAGCTCCATCGCACCTTAGTTCAGCAGGTAAGTTGATAACTTCAGTTCTTCTTCTTCTTCTTCTTCTTCTTCTTCTTCTTCTTCTTCTTCTTCTTTTCCAGATTTCAGAGTCTCAGACTCTGAAACTGTTCTTTTCCACCCCATGAGTCCAACTGTTCTCAGTCAGTCACTCTCACTCTCTCAGTCATCAGTCCACCCCATGAGTCCATTTTTTTTGAAAAAAACAAGGGCTCCGCCCTACTCAATCAGTATTTCAGTCATGATTCACACTTGAATCATCTCAGTTTTTAACAGCCGAAGCTGTCGAACCTACTCTTCTTCTCTTCTCCAATTCTTCTCTAATCTCTTTTTTAATTCTTCTTCTTCTCAATCAAATTTTTTTTATATCATTAATATATATGATTATATGGCTGATTTTTTTATATGGATGAACTACATGGCTGAAACTTGATTCAGTGATTGTATGGCTGAATTTAATTCTCTTCTTCAAATGTTTTTTTATGGCTGAATTACATGTCTGAAACTTGATTCATTGATTAATTGATTATATATATGATATATATATATATATAGTTGGTTTAGACTCCTTTTTATTGATAATATTATATATTTTTAGCTTTTTATATGAAATTTATACTCATTTGAATGATTTGTAGTGTTAATAGTTAGTGTACATGATTGCCAGTTAGCACACAAAACCAATAAAATAACTTAGAAAAGCATATATAAAGTAAAAACTGAATAAAACAAACATTTTAAAATTCCAATGCCTAGGCAACACCTAGGCGCCTAGGTGCCCTGTGGTCGCCTAGCCTCGCCTAGGCGCCTTGAAAGCTATGCCATGGAATTATGCTTTCCTTTCTCAACCATCCAACCACTATTTTTTATTCCCCTTCTACTATGAGCTTTGTAAAGTTGAGATACTTTGAAAGCTTCAAACCTTGTAGAACTAAGGCTGTCAATGGATTCCAAAAGTCTGATACCTTACTCAACATCTGATCCAATTAAAATCCAAGCCCTATGATATATATATATATATGATTATAACAAAAAAGTTTTATATGTAATATATATTTTAATACATGTATAAATTAAAAGTAATTAGATTTTTAATTTTTAATTTTTGTCATTGTAGAGGAGATGGGCCGAATGGACCATAGGCTGTCATTCTATGTTTGCCACCAGCTCTCTCTCTCTCATCTTCTTAATCTTCTCTTGTTTGTTTTCTGGTTTTGCATCTAATCTCAAGCAGTTCTATACTTCAAGAGGGTTGTTTTCAACTATCATTTTAACCACAATAAAGTGGATGCAGGTTAAATACAAATTCAATCCGAGCCCAACATACTAGAGTTCAGTTATGGATCCAAAGATTTGATAATCGGATAAGATGCAAATGAAGCTGATCCAATATGAATCCAATCCAACAAGAAGCCTATGTAGCCCTAGGTAGTTAACTAATTCTAGGGGTTTTACACTCCAGACCTAGGATCACATCCTATCTTCGGCTTTTTATCAGTGACCCTCATTATCATCATCATCATCCATGCCTTACACAACTATATGAGGTCAGATACATGAATCCTGTTTCGCCAATCCATTCTATTTAAGCCATATCCACTGTTAAACAATTAGCACTTAAATAATTTCTTACTACTTCTACCCATGTCCTTTTTGGTGTACCCCAAGCTCTTCTAGCCCCTTCAATGGGTAACAGATCACTTCTAATTGGTGCAATTGGTGGTCTTCTATACATGTGCCAAAACCATCTTAGTCTACTCTCTCTCATTTTATCACATATTTGAGCTACTCCTAGGTACTTATGAATAACTTTATTCCTAATCCTATCTTTTCTAGTTTTTCGACTCATCCATCTTAGCATTTGCATGTCTAGCACATTCATTCTTCTGAACATGTTGTTTCTTGATTACCAACAATCTACTCCATACAACATAGCTGGCCTTACAACTGTTTTATAGAATTTTCCTTTTATTCTAAGCGGTATTCGCCTATCACATAAAAGTCAAAATGCACCCCTCCATTTTTGGGTGGCATTCTCCCCAATCTCTCCCTTGTTATGAATTATTGAACCAAGGTACCAGAAATGGTCACATTGAGTTATCTCTTGGTCTCCAATCCTAAGTGTATCTTGATTTGCACTCCTATTATTACTAAACTTACATGTCATATACACTGTTTTAGTCCTACTTATTTTAAAACCTCTTGTTTCTAAGGCATTTGTCCATAAGCTTAATTTTGCATTTAATCCTTCATTAGTTTCATCAATTAAAACAATGCCATTCACAAACAACATGCACCATGGAACTTCCTCCTTAATATGTTTAGCCAATTCATCCATGATCAATGCAAATAGATAAGAGCCAAGTGTTAAATCTTGGTGAAGACCCATAGTAATTGTAAAATTTGAAGTCTCTCCCACTGGTGTTCTAACATTGGTCATTGCCCTCTCATACATGTCCTTAATTAGGTCTATATACCTATTTTGAAGACCCACCATGTTATCTCTCTAGGAACTCTATCATATGCCTTTTTCTAGATCAATGAACACCATATGAGGATCTTTTCTTATTCTCTTTGAACTTTTCTATCAATCATCCCAAAAGATATATAGCTTCCATAATTGATCTCCCTGGAATAAAGACAAATTGGTTCTCCGATACACTTGTTTCAAGTCATAATCCTTGTTCAATTATTTTCTCCTGAAGTTTCATAGTGTGGTTCACAAGTTTAATCCCCCGATAATTATTATAACTTTGTATATCACCTTTGTTCTTAAATATAGGCACCATTCCATTGTTTCTCCAATCATAAGGCATCTTCTTTTCTTTCATTAGGTCCTAATGCTAATAATATAAAAACAGTAACAGTCTTGCCTACCAAAAAATACATGCCTTTAGCATCTTGAAAATCAAAGTACTCCCAAGTCCCTACATACTTCCATCAACTTTTTGACAAGGATGTAATTTTAGTTTAAGTGAAGCAATGATGCAAGCTAAATCACTCCCAAATGAGGGTTAGAAAGCCAAATTCAGGAATCAGGACTAGCCAATTGATCTAATGTACAGCATATTGGCTTCAACCAGTTCAGCAGGTCTAAATTTTAACTTCATTTTAAATATTTACATCACAATTCTAAAAATATAGGAGAGAGATATAAATCCAACCCATGCTTTAATCAAAGCATATTCATCACCATCAACAAAAAAGAAAAAGATGTACATCTTAAACTTACTTTTAGTGATGAAGAAAGCTGAAAAAAATCTCCAATAACAAAATCAACATAATCTTCAACTCCATAAATCTTTGCATTATTATAGGCTAATCCAACTTTTTTTGGATCAATATCAATAGAAACAACATGGTAACACCTGGAGAGACATGACTAAAGTTAAGAAAGTTATGCAGCTGAAGAAATCTTTTCTCATACCACATTAAATCTCTTTAAATTCTGAAGGAACGAAATTAAAGATGTAATGACTAAACAATTTATTTTAAACGGTCAAATTAAAACTGAAATCATTTTATTCAAATAACAATAAAGAGGAAAATGGGCCAAGAGTTAAAGAATATTCAAATTACTAAGACCATGAAACTTAATAAATTATTTAATTCAATACTTAAGTTGTAATTTACCTTAGAAGCATATCTGCCTCTTTCCCTGATCAACATAAATCATATAGCCATGCATTTATAACGATAAGCATATCCATTTTATTTCCTTCATTGATGTAAAGAATATAGACTATGGTCATTTCAAAATCCAAAAGAGATGAAAGGTGATAAAAGGAATGCATGAAAGGATGGATCTCAATAAGATATTTGAAATGTCCCTTGTAAGGAGACAAGTTGAGAATATCATTTAATAAGAATATAGACTATATCAACGAAGCTTTTTTGATCTTATGCTGAAGAAAACAGCAACTCAATTAAGAAGGGAATACAGTTGGCTATTAGATGCATCATGTGCAAGGTGTAGGCTGAAGATGTAATCACCTATGATGTAAAGCAAAGACCTCAGAATAAAGAGGTACCCATTCAGACACGTGAGTGCCTCTTCTTTCAAAAAGAAGTACCAAACACATGGTTATCTTCACTCTCGGAAAAAAAAAATAATAGTTACCTCCTGTTAAAGTCATTTTTTTTATTCAAATAATTTGTAATAAGTGGGCTAGCTAGTCTACTAGCCAAATCATTAAAATTATAAAAAAGTATCCTGTATGGGAGTTCCCCCTTTTAAGTGAGGAGTTCTCTCTCTTTAAGTGGGGAGTTCTCTCTCTTTAAGTGGGGAATTCCCTCTCTTTAAGCGGGAGGGACAGGTGTCCTTCACCTAGGAAGAGGGGATAGTTACATAACCACCCCACTCCCTATTTAATCTCCTTAAGGGGAAGCTAGATACACACGTAGAGACTCTTCGGAGAAAATTTTCACAAGGGATTCTTAAGAAAAGCAAAGATAAGGAGAGAAGAAAAGAGAAGTGCTCAAGGGAAGGCAAGGAAGGAAAAGTCTCACTAATACAGGTAGAGAAAAGGAAAGTCCTCTCTGTGAATACTTCCTCTATGTATCCTTCTTTCTCTCTCTTTTGTTATTACTTTTGAGAAAGGAAAAAGAGGGAAATAAACCATCTACAACCAGGTGCCTTTACTTGGTTGATTATGGTCCCTCTTTCAAGACAAAGTTAGGGATTAAACCATCTACAGTCTAAATCTCAAAGGCTAATTATGGTTCCCTTCAAATGAAAATGAAGAGTAGGGGGGAATAAACCATCTACAACCAGGTGCCTCTACTTGGTTGACTATGGTCCCTCTTTCAAGGCAAAGTTAGGGAGTAAACCATCTACAGCCTAAATCTCAAAGGCTGATTATGGTTCCCTTCAAATGAAAATGAAGAGCAGAGGGATGAAAATCGTCTACAATCAAATATTCAATTTGATCGACTATGGTTCCCTTTTTGTATGCAAAATTCCAAGGAGTAAGGTTGTCTACAATCAGAATTTCATCTGATTGACTACAACTTATTATGAAGAAAGGAGTGAGAAGGAAATTTTCTTTGTATTAAAGAAAAGAGAAATGTATTGCTGTATTGTTTCTCAATTGTATTTTCTTCTTCTTTCTTCTCATTCTTGTACACCTGATGTAAAAGAAAAGCAAATGAAAAGTTCTTTTTTAAGTATCCTATTGTTCTATGTGTTCATTACTCCAAGTCAGAATCAAAAGGTGTTCTCTACTTTCTTGTGGGGATGTAATTAAGGGGAACTCCGTATGATTCCCTGAATGGGCCTTACTCAAAATAATAAAAACTCAATCACTTGATTGAGTGAATTATGTTGCATGAGAATTTATTAAAATTTTCACACCAACACCTCCACTCCCTAAAAAAGTGTTCAGTTCATATGGTGTGGGACCCATACCAATGATGACCAACCTTTCTAATTTAATTTCCTAATTCAAATAAAAGAATCACCATAAAGACTTTCAATTTGCTAATTGATGTGTGTCTCATTCTTTTAGATAAAGTGGATCATTAAATACAAAATAAAACTTATTTAATTTCCTGAATTAAATAGGAAAGCAAACACAAATTTATCAAATGAGTGGTGGATTCCAAACAAAACAATGGGTGTAGTTGCTCCATATTATTAGTAACTCTAGCAGTATGAAAAATAGTAAGACAAAGAAGGAGAAGGCATTAAGACCTGATTGTATACCAATAAAAGTGTTAAAAGGCATGGGAGAGATAAGCTTATTATGGCTAACTAAACGATTTAATAATATAATGAAAACAAAGAATATGCTACATGAATGGAGAAAGAGCATCATGGTGACTATATTTTAAAAACAAAGGTGATATACAAAATTGTAGTTGGAATTAATCTTGATGAAAAAGTAAAAGGAAATATTAAGAGAAAAGAAGATGATGATGAAGAAGAAAGTTGAGAGGCTCAAAATATTTGGCCATGGCCTTCTCATTAGGCTATAAGCAAGATGGATTAATAATATGAAATTACAATACTGCCCCCAATTAACAAAAGTAAAGTCTAGCACCAGAAGCTACTGGGCCCACAAACATCTGCCCAGCAACAGTTTTAATAACCATCAGGGGATTAAAACCATGAGACACACTATGAAACTATAGGATAGATCCGTGTTCTAAAAGCAAAAGGTCCTTTTAGTGCCCAAGGCACAAAGCAAGATACATGCCGCTTTAAAACAAAAGTAAAAAAAAACAGGGAAAATGCAATTTTGAATTTTAAAAGAAATTAAATGTTTTAGAAAGCCAATTGTCTAAAATTAAAATACATAAACATAACATATAAAGAATATCCAAAGTGAAAACATAGAAGGAAAGGCAAAAATAGATGTGGATTGTCCTAAATTGTTCAAGCATGTAGAACTTTCAATCCATTTATTTATCTCCTAGCTGCATTCCTTCAAGTAGCCAATCTGATGTTAAACATCCTGCATTATTAATTTTGGAGATGGACACTCTACCTTCATAAAGGCCCCTTGTGGCAAATCCAAACAATTCCATGTGAGGGTTGGGGTAACACCACCAACCTAAATTTTCGGCCCATACATATACAAAAATTGGTTTGCTAGTCACAGTTCATTCTATTTTAGGATTAGGAATCAGATATTATTTAAAAGTTAATAGACCTTTACTAGTCTGCAAACAACAATAAAAGGTAATTTGGAAGTTGATAAACATTACAAAGATGTGAATCCGCAGAAGAATGTAGCAAAAAAGATACATTTAAAAAGGCATGCACCTGGGCTGAGGCACAAGTGCACCAAGCACATGCCTTTTCAAAGGAACTGCACCCGGGTTCACAAAAGGCACATGATTGAAATGTGTCTCACCCGTGTACCTAGGCATGCCTCTTAAAACACTTTGCCCACTATCTATCATTGTTACATATGCAATATTAGTCATCCTGTCATTATTGGAAGTAGAGGCATAGCTTTAAGCCAACTAGATACTCCATCTAGTATTGGGTAACCATGATTAGTGGGTTCCGCTTGTTTTATCTTCATGGTGCTCAAACAATGTGCGTACTGTTCCTTGTATGTGGGTCATGCAACGAAATTAAATTGTATGTTGATGGATCACATAGTACTATGAGTGACTATTTTCTTCCCCTAATCCCCTCTAACTTATGTTACTTGGCTGATTTATTTAAGTTGAGGTTGAGGTCTAGGCCCGTAACCAAGCTTGTTTTTGACATTTCCCCATGTTTCCCATTTGCAGGATCCCCAAGTGGTGATGAATGTCATTTCAATACTTCAAGCAACATACATATAGATTCGAACACACAAAGTGATAATTGAATATGGATACATTTCACGTATTAAATGTAAAGGAGCTCACATTTTTGCAAATTGAATGGCATTACCACCGACACCTGAGAAGCAGTCGATCACGACTCCTCCCCCGCTTCTCTCAGCATGCCTGACTGCAATCTCTTCTGGAGTCACTGAAAACCATCCTTCCTCGTCCATTTTTATGCCCTCATCAAACCTCGAGAAAAGATTGTATCTTTGAAGCCAATACTTCTTAACAAGTGGACTAACTGGTACTACTGCAGTGATAATTTTGGAGTGCTATTATTTGAAATTAAATGCAAATGATTAAACAATATTTTAAAAGCAAGCGATGAATCAAAAAGATACGAGAGAAACTAAACAAGCAGTACCTAAACAACCAAAAAAGAAAGAGAAGGAAAAGGATGTAGCAATTGCAACGAAGAAATTGAACTGAAGCTACTCTTATTCCGGCCATTTGAATTAGTATGGATCGAATTAGGGTTTCAGTATTACCTTGTTGCTTCGATCTCTTGCGCTTCTTTGGACGACTAATGCGATGCCTTTTTACGTGGAAATCGTCTTCAGTAACCTTCTGGTCCTTCTCCTCCATTACCGCGTTATAACTTGGGATTTGCGAGTTGAGATTTGAATGCATGATTATAAATAGCAGTGGCCAGTGGGAGAGTGGGAGAGTGGAAATTTGAAAAAGATAAATTACTTTTAACTCCTCTGAGTTTTGGTAAATTACTAAAACCTTCCCCCTCACGTCAACCGATTAGATGAGCTTTCACCAAAACTCACGGTGGTTGTCACGGGTCAAACCCTTTCCGTATTATGTCTTTCCACACAAGAGGTACTGCCATTTAGAACTTAGAAGAGAAGACAGATCGACCACCATGGGGGTTGCAGCCAAAGCCATTCAACAATATTGTTGTTTACTTGTTTTGCTTTCGAAAAAATAAATTGTCACACCAACAAAATAATATAATTTTGCTGAGTTTTTTTTAACAAAACCCTTCGATATTTTCTTCAAACCAAGGTTCAAAATATTGACATAATCCGATATGCCGTCTGTACTTTTTTAAGTTTTATTTATTTTTTTAGAAACCGGTTCAGAGGGTCGGTTTAAGGCGACCACCCTCTGAATCAGTGTCTGACCCAATATAACTCCTGGAGGGGTATATCGGTAAGCTATCAACATGATACATATTGGCCAATATGGATCAATACATATCAATACTTTGATCCTTGATTCAAACACAACTTAATTGTTGCATTCGTAAAAGTGCCGATGCAAATATGTATGGTTCATGAGAATGCAAAGTTGGTTTTGTTTTGCATCGATGAATTTTGGATTCTTACCAAACAGATTTTATTGTGATGGATACAATTGTACAAGCACTAATTCTAAGGCTGAAATCTACCTTTTCCACATTGACCAACTTTGAGTGCAAAATCTCATTTTTAGTACCAAATAAAAAGAAATTTTCTAGCATTTTTAATACAAAAATGTATTTTTATTGTGAGAATCTAAGGCCAAGCAATGGGAATGCCACCAAACAAAGCCATAAGGAGTCGCCACCTGAATTTTATGCTAGCCTAAAAACCAACATTTTAAAAAACGACCCAGAAACGGAACCGTTCTGGCCACCGGTTTCCGGGTCAATGGTCCGACTGTCTAGTTCAAATGGGAGGCCCGTTCTGACAGCAAAATTAAAAATAAATAATTAAAAAATAAAAAAAGGCCAAAAACTGTTGAACGGGTTGATAGGTCAACGATTCAACCGCTCGGATCAATGGTTTGTTGACTTTTTCAATGGTTTTTTACTAGATTCTGAATTTGGAGTAAAACGGAACCTATTGCCTAGACTATTCTTGGGCCGAATGGTCTAACCGTCCGGATTAACAGCGGTTCGAAAACATTGCTAAAAACAATAAGATGAAAGGGGGGAGAAGGAAATGAGATGAGGATGATTTTGAAAAACATTTTAGTCTAAAAAAGAAAATTTTAGTACAAAATCATCTAAGTGGTTCCATTAAAACCGGTCTCTAACCATGCTAAATAAGAGATTAGGTTATGAGTGTAGCCATTAGGCACTACACATAGTCAGAGTCGAATTCTACTCTACTTCATTCCTTTATTACTTAGTATTTAACTTCACTATTCTAGCCCATTTAATCATAAAACCAAGGATATCTCAATTCTCTACTCAACCCACCTCTTTTTGATGGCTTCAAGGAAATAGGATTTATCTTCAATGGTCACCAAAAGTCTAGTTTTCTAATCTACATATCTAGATGCAAAGCTACATGATATTGAAGCACAATTATACTTATTACTTCTACATGATCCATGGGCAATAAAAGAGAGTTATAAATGATGCATGAGTAGGAAATGCTAATAAACTCAAAACACTGAAATACCCCAAGATACTCAAAATTTACCACTAATTTTCACAAAAGAACCATCCCTTTTAAAGATCCTAATTAACGAGAATGACAAAATAAGCATCTAACAGTTTACGAGCTTTTTATGAAAATCAGACAACCCTTACCAAGACTTAGGAAACTAAAAATCACTTGCACATTAAATTCAACAATCAAATTCCAAAGATCCATTGTTCATTATACTTTCCTTTTGATGGTCCTGACTAATGCAATATCAAAACCTTGAATTTATAAAACTAAATCCAACACACCACCACCTCAAAAACCATGATATATAATCATCTATCAAATATCATCTCAAAACTTCGAGGACCAACCATAAAAGTTGTCAATATCCCATTCTAACAGCCTTGAATGAATAAAACTGTAATGACTAAGATTAATAGATTATTTACCAAATTTGAACCTTCCACATGATTCATCATCTTAAGTTGTCTCTACATGTCGAATTTCAATTCAAAATTTCTTTGTTTAATTACTTAATCATTAAAGATTCCAATCCGGTAGTCATAATTAAATTAGCACCAAAATCCATTATCCAAATAACTAAACAACTCACCAATCAGGGGTGCCCTATTGATATGTTAGCTAGTTCTCTCCAACATTGATGTGAAATCAATTCCAGTGACCACTGATTTAGGAAAGGGGGTTATTAGTGGTATGTAGCACCAAATGCCAAACAATAAAACCACTCCCATGGAGTCCAAAAACCTCAAAACGGTATACCCATCCAATCACAACCATCAATTCCTTTATTTCCTTCTAATTAAAACAAGTAAGATTCTCATTTTAAGCATTCACTTGGTTGTTAAGCTATGAATTAAAACCCTAATTTGAACCAAATAATTCAATCTTTATCCATGACCAAATTCTATCTATTCCATCAAATTCTACACATTCCAAAATGCTTATCCACCAAAATTCAACCCCAAACTCCTCCACTTGACCCACTACTAAGCTAAGATTCTATTATGGCAAATCTCATTCATCGAATCTTATCAGATGTGGATTTTCATTACAAAAGGCATATTTAAACCAATTAGACCTCGTTGTCATGTTAAGAGACTCTAAGAAACCACAATACATCAAATTTTATGACCTAATTTACCCACTTGACTATCAACTAAAAAGATTTTGTTTCAATACATTGCATTAAATCGCCTCTTCTTTTTCCCAATCTAATACCTTAAGAGGGTGAGGTTGATGTTGATCCTCCACTTGACTTCTCAAACCACATGGACCAATAAAATTATGCCTATTAAGCTTAAAAATACAAAGAAAAACCTAAGATACACCATTTTCTATAGAAAGATAAAATGATCATTATGGTTAACTCAAATTTACATTTTATGCCATCGGGAACCTGAAATTCGTGTTAGATGTATCAAACACAGCCTAACCTCCCATTGGATGCACAAAACCCCTTGAAACCAACCCCAAATCGAAGAGAAATGTTGCATATATAAGGAAAGTTGACTAAAAGCCCTTTCCACTTGAAAATCTTACATAAAAACATTTTCTTAAAGTCCTAGCCACATGTAAACCAACTTTCAAACCTTTTTACCACACCTTTCTCTATAAAAGGGAACCAAATTGAGCAAGAAGAGGGGGGAATAGGAGAAAAATTCTATAACACTCTTAAGCATCTAAGAGAACCCTCAATTCATTTTTCACATTAAATCCCCAAAAAACTAACAATTCAATGTTTAAATCCGGTCCAACCACTTGCCCCTTTCTCTTTGACCAATCCAAACTTCAATCCACTTTGAAATAACTCAAATCCCTCTTACATTTTTCTAAGAAATCGATTTGAAACATCCTCCAAGTTTGAATGTCTTTAAAATGCCATTTTCAACCTAGTTTCGGCTGAATGGTAGCTATCTCTATACATATGAACAAGGAAGACAAAGAAGGAATGAACCTCAATTAAGTTTAAATCTATCCTTTGGAATGAGCCAATAATTTAACAATGAATATGGCTTTGAACATAACAAATGGTGAAATAGGGTTCAAGTACCCGATCCCATATAGTTGGGGCAAGGGTTGGATGATGATGATGATCTTTCCTTTCGAATATATCGACAAGCAGGAACCAAAGGCATTCTAAAAGTGGTGGGAGGATTTGTATTAGAGTATATTTGTGTTAATTCAAAGGCAATGGAATTTCCTTTTGATAGGAGAAGAGACAAGAAGATAATAGCAATTATGAGATGGAATAGGATGGCAAGTTATATTATGTAATTCTTTTTGAAAAAAAAAAAAGTTATAATATGCAACGAGAGACTGAGTAGAGATGATTAAGCGTTGGCAAGGGCTAGACTGGGTTTCTATAGGGGTACTAATGGCATTTAGGATACCAGGGCCAAGGCTGGCCCACACCCTGAGCCTAATAATATATGCTCAGGCCTCAAGCTTAGGCTTGGTTAGACCAAATATATAGGATTGTTTGTGTAAATTAATAAAATTATATTTTAAAAATTTTAAATTTAACACAAGCATATATTGAAGATGACTTAGAGAACCAAATGGACAAAAACCTAGAAAAAGGGAGAGTTTCACAGGTCATAGGTTCAACCTAGAAAAATGGAGAATTAATTGACACATGTCAATACATGTGTGAACACTTGATCCAACTCAAGTATGTAAATTTGTCCTCCAAAGCAAGGCCTTAATTCTCTTTGCCTAAGCAATGTGGGACTTGGAAAAACACTCAATGGTAACACTTATTATTTAGTGTTGTTCCAAGTCTCACATTGCTTAAGAATGGAAATGGAGGCCATGTCTTCATCTATAAAAGCATAGATAAGCCAAGCCAAATCAACTCTAATAATTAAATGAGGCCCATGCCTTTTTTGGTACATAGGTCCAAAGGTTAGCCAAGCCCAATGTACCTTGGGCTTGTGCCACATTTTTATATATACTATATTTTATTTAATTTAATTTAAAATAAAAAATTTAAATAATAAAATTTTTATTATTGAATGTCATAAGCCCAGAATGCCCATAAGCCTGGCCCGAGCCTAGGTTAAAGCATTTATCATAATTGCTAAACCCGACCTAGCTCGGCCGATGATCACCCTCACCTGGTCACGGTTCAACTAGTTTCACTAACTAGTATGGTATAGTTTTCTAAGAGGACAGGAGTATTTGTTTTTTTTTTTTTTTTCTTTAATGGGCCAATGTGTCTTTTGTTGTGAGTCTTTTAGGGTTGGTAAGTAGTTCGGGCTCAAGTGTTGATCCTAAAGCCCGATTCAACCTTGTTCCTTTTGGGATATGTATAGTACGTTGCTTGCTCTTTCTTTTTTTATTATTAATAAAATTAATACCTTATCATCTCAATATATATATTAGCGGTGAACATGGGTTTATTTGGTTCGGTTCCAAG